TGAGGTCAGGTATTGTGATACTACCTGCATCACTCTTATTAAATCTGCCCATGCTTCTCTCCTTGCAGCCAAGGAGACCTCAGGTGGCAGATCCTAGGGGTCTCTCTCTTCTAGTCTAGGGCCCTGACATGTTTTGTGACCTAATTATTTTATTTTTGCCAGAAACTTCCATTCCAGCCTCCTTACAAAATGGCAGGTATCATCTTGACCTGCTCCTATTCTGATCTAAAAATGGACGTGCTCAGGTTTGATTTCATGGAGCTGATCAGTCCAAAGGCAGGTACAGAATTATGTTTTGCTAGGCTTTGGGGGCAGCCTAGTGGAAGGCCTATCATTTCTGTGAGCAAAAACAGTTGAACGACCTTTACATACCTCACTTCTTTTTGTTCCTCATTCATATGAAATTAAAACAGTAAATCCCAGTGCGCCAGTACTGTTGTTTCAGATGGACAGAAGTGTTCCAGTTTTGCCCACAAACCAAATTTGTGTCATGGTTTTTTAAAGAAAAGAGGAGGACAACGAAATGAGTGTTCTCCTGCTCCTCTGTTCACCTTTTAATGCTCTTTACCAAATGGACTCCAGGAGAGAGAAAAGAAGGCAGAGTGGGACCACAGGGAGGGCACTTCTCTGAGCTCTGGAGCAGTGCTGTGTCCTCTGTCTCCATCCCTTTCCCTCAGTCCCCCCACATACACCACCACTCACCACACGCACACCACAACCCTGATTCCAGGCAGATGCCTCCAGGTCGCCCAGGCAGGTCCCCTCCGTCACACAGCGCCGTCACAGCGCCATCCTGGCTGAGCACTTCCTCCTTGGTGTTGACGCACACTACTGTTCAGTGTTCCAGGCTTTTTAGAATAAATGTATTTGGGTATTTTCAGGTTGGGAGCTATGGGTAATTTGGCAACCAAACACCGTAACTGGTTTCTTATGTAACCCTGCGGTTGGCAGCGAGGTTCAGTGCATTGAAATGAAGCAACACTCACTCATCCAAAGGTGACTTTTCCTTTTTCAGGAGAGATAAATGTGCTGCTTTGTTTCTTCCTGTTGCATACATTGTTTTTAATTATTGGCTGACTTTAATGATACTTGCTTTAATTTTTAAATATGAATGGGAAGGTCTATTTAACTTTTGGAAGTTGAAGTTAGGTGTCCCTAACCTAGAGAACGCTTAAATAACTTGAATGCTTTCAGGTGGTAATGAAACTGGAGAGAGGAGGAGGGACCCAGGACCAGACAGCATAGGAATCCAAACTGGTAAAGTGCCTAGAAGTTAGAGTTGCGACCTTTTGAAAAAACTGGAATCAGCCTTCCATCCCAAGGTGCTCCAGACTGGGCATCTCATGAACAAGAGGCCCCCTATACTAGCTTTTCAATTATAGTGTATATTCTTTCCATTTTTTCTTTCTTTCCTAAATAAATTTAAAAAAAATAGTCTGAGTCTCTAAACAGACCTCCTTATTTATTTTATTTTATTTTTTCTCAGTTTCAGAGGCTAGATTCTCTAAAATATTTTGGGTTTTGTTTTTCATGGCACTGGGAATGGGACCCGGGACCTGAGGCAGCTCTCTACTACTGAGCCCCACCCTCTGAAATGTTTTTGTATCTTTGCCTGAATTCAGTAGCCATTAGAAAATGGGCCAAGTGTTGTATCCCCTATTTCTCAGACTACAATAATAAAGTTTTCAAATGAAAACTCTAAGATTGCTTTAGTATCTCTTCCCACCATATTCCTGTAGAACACAAGTGGGAATTGGGACATTCATCCAATAAAGTTCAATTGGAAAAAACAAAGGGAAACACTACATTTCAAAATAAATCCCACTTTTTTCTTTAAAAGCAGAGTTCATTGACCAAGACATTTCAAAATGTTTTCTCTAAGGCCCCAGCTGAAACACTGATTGAGGCTGTCAGGAAATTACAGGGATCAAGCAACTCATCAAGACTTGGGTTTCGAGGTCTCCCAAAGCCTCGAAGTGGCCTTGGAGGCTAATTGCTGTTTACTGCAGTGGACCTTCGTCCTTGTTCTTCTGTAACATTTTCCATCTTAAGAAGGGCCGTCCCATTCAGCCTCGGAGCATGCCGTCTGAGTGGCTGAATGGAATTACTACCAGTGGAAACTATGCTGCGAGAGGGTGGACAGGGCAGCTGGGAAGCAACCTCAGCTGGTTTTCCATCCTCCCGAGCAGAGTTAATTAGCATAGGGAAAATGACTAAGGTGTTGACGTCACCTCTTTCCAGTAGAAACTTACACTTTGTCCCTGTCTGCCTGCGAGCATGCAGGACTTGACTCAGGAATTTGCTGTCCAAACAGGATGCTCTGGACGCTGGGCTTTTTTTTTTTCTTTCCCAGGGGCCTGGCCCTCCCCCTCCGTGCTTTATAAGCGCTGGCTCAAGAAGGGACCTACAGTCTCTTGGAAAAGAAGCTGGCTGCGCGGGCCTCTAGTGCTCTCCCTGTAAGAAAGCAGGATGCATTTTAGAAACTTTAACTACAGTTTTAGCTCCCTGATTGCCTGTGTGGCAAACAGTGAGATCTTCAGCGAAAGTGAAACCAGGGTAAGGCTTCTAATGTAATGTGATTTTTCGAGAGTTTTCAAAGCATTATGCTAATTAGGACTATTAACTGAAATACGTGTGGGTGTGTGGCTCTCTTGTGGGTTTGGGGGTTTTGAAATAAGTCCATAATATTTTGAGTCTTGAAAATCAAAAGCTGTTGCTTTAGGAATTAAGATGAGGGAATTTTTAGAGGTCTCAGAATTTGAAAGCATCTAGGTTACTGGACCAGCTTCCTATCGAGGCAGAGTTTGGAAATTGCATGGTTTTCATTCCGAAGGTGTGGGTGGACCTTTCCAGGGAGGCCTCTTCTCACCGTGAATAGAACCACCTTTTTACAGCTAGAGTTCAGAATAATTTGATTTCGTCTTAGGGAATAAATATTCTCAACTTATTGCATGTTTATAGTAATTATAAGGGTCTGCTTCTAGCTTCCAGATTAGACCAGCTAGAGAAAATGCGCCTTAGCAAATCATCACACTGGGATAAATAATTTAAATGTGGGATTAATGTGCCTCCTGGGCAGCAGATCTCATTGAGGTAATTACTAATTAATATAATTAGTAATTTTAATCTCTATACTTTTCTTCTTTGTTTGGTTAAAATGTCAGATATTTTGTTGATAGCTACCCAGCTATCTGAGTTTTTAATAATATACATAAATGAATATTGTGTATGTTCTGTTTGAGGGATGATGTTTGTGTTATATGCTTTATACCCAAAACCATATGGGAACACGCAAAGGTTTTTTTCTTCTTCTTTTTAAAATCAAATTTAACTTCGTAATTGTGTACTAGGATTGTGATCTGGGACCATAGTTTGCTTTTTTCTTTTTTAACTAGATCGTACAGCATATTCTAATGCTATTGAACCACTATAATAACTAGATTAAAACAAATAAGAGAATGTTATGGTAGGAATGGGGATTTAGCAGAGAATGTGGATTTCTCTGTTCTGATCCTGAGCCCTGAGTTATATTCTAAAATTATTCATCAAAGTCATCTCTCCCAAATTCTGAATCATAACTTCAGAACTACACAGTTGGTCACAGTGCCTACTGATGAGGTCATGTGAAATTCCCCATCTAGCGAGACACCCTGGCAGCTCGGCCACCGGAGAGAGGTGGGGAATAGTAGCCTGCGGCCAGCTGAAATCGCTGTCAGGCGCGTCCTTTCACACGTGCCTCTGCAGAGCCCCTGGTGGGAAAGTCACAGAAACGTTGGGGCTCAAGAGCAGCTCAGGCTTGTGCGAAAACGAGGCTGGGAGCTGCTGCCCCTCCCGCGACCACCTGCCCCGGGGCGCCGCGCCGCTTTCCTGCCGCAGCCGCGGGGGAGCGCTCCGGGGACCAGGCCCTCCCTTACCAGCCGCGAATATTCCTGCAGAGGGTCCGCGCGGTGCATGAGCTATTTCCTGCTCGCCTGCGCGTTAGAGGGCGCGGTGCTCGGGATCCGGGCGCTCTGCCGCCTTGCACACGGGTTCCTACAACCTGTCCCAAGGGTTTAGTTTGGAAAAAGACTCCAACAGCGTCTAAAAGCCCGTGCAGTCTTCCTTGAAGTCCCCATTGCCCACCACCCGCTGCCCCACTCCACCCCTGGTAGGTCTCTCCCCAGAGCTTCTCCCAGAGGCTGGTGGGCCGGTTGCTGAATCAGAGCTGGTAATCCCACAGCTGGGCGTTTCGTTCTAGGAGCTCGGGATGTTTCCTACTTTTCACTCTCTCTCATGACGTGTGCCTATCTGTATTCAAGCCAGTGCAGAAATGGGTCCATTTGCAATACATTAATTTTAAACCAGTATCATTTTAGAGAGTTAAAAAAAAGTAACAGACTAAGATTTTTAAAAAAACAGTGGGAATTTTTAAACTACTTCCTTTAAGAAATGCAAGACTTTTAAAAGTTCATTGTTCAATTTAAAAAAGTTTCCCAAATTAGCTGCACTTAGCACTTTAAGCCCTAAAGAAATATTTGACATATGTAAAATCATCCTTAGCTAAATGGCAGGATTGGAGTGGGCCAGGATAAGGAAGTTCATAGGAATATCAGGCCTAGGAATAAGGAATTGCCAAACTAAACCTTCTAGGAAAATGCTCATTCTGCTTTAAAAATATTTTTTTCTCTTATCATAAGAAGTATTTAATTATTGGTATTGTTCTGCTCATTAAGTGAGTTTAGTAAGTCATCTTCTTACCTTCTTATAAAATCACCTGTAATTGTAATTGGCCTAAATAAGGGGCTGTGTTGGCTAAGGATGTTGCTCAGAAGTAGAGTGTGTGCCTAGAATATGCACTAAAAATACGTAAAGAAATGGCAGCATCTCCTTAAAAAGGAAGTGAGGAATTCTTCAAGTGGTTGGTAACTCATTTCTTTACTAAGCAATGTAATGATGTCCTTTAGTCAAAGGTCACATACAGATAAATTTCAACTCCTTTTATTTTTATTGTGATTTTTCAGGCCAAATTTGAATCCCTCTTTAGGACATATGACAAGGACATCACCTTTCAGTATTTTAAGAGCTTCAAACGTGTCCGAATAAACTTCAGCAACCCTTTGTCTGCAGCTGATGCCAGACTGCAGCTGCATAAGACTGAGTTCCTTGGGAAGGAAATGAAGTTGTATTTTGCTCAGGTGAGTCAGGAGTCAGGTGCATTGGCTATGCATGCATCTCTCTTCCCATCCTTTTTTTTTTTGATGGTACTATGAATTGAACCCACACCCCTTTTTTTATTTGGAGATATTTGGAAACAGTGTCTTGCTAAGTTGTTGAGACTGGCCTCAAACATGCTATCCTCCTGCCTCAGCCTCCTGAATCATTGGTGCTACAGGTGTGTGCCACTGTGCTCTGCTCCTCCTCCCATCCTTTTTTTTAAGACCATCTATACACTGATGATGTTATATATGGAAAACCCAAGAATTCATCTCAAGAAAGGAAAAATTAATGCTCTGAATTCTCGGTCTTGTACTTATTTTAAGAAGGCAGTGAGTTTGAGAACAACCTCAGAAATGACACTTGGCCTTCTGGAGTTGAGTAGCAAGAGAGGAAGCACAACCACCCCCACCCCCACCCCCACCCCCCTTCTTCTAGCGAGCTTGCAGGTGTGCTGTCAGGGCCAGGGCCATTTCCCAGCTCTTCCTGGAATCACACCTGCTCCACCTGGCACTTGGCCTGTCCTTTCACATCTGCCTTCCAGAAGCTGTGGCAGGTGCTGTTGACACTGTAGTTCTTCACTGCAGGGCAGTGACCAGTGTTGACTTCTCTCCTCAGACTTTACACATAGGAAGCTCACACCTGGCTCCGCCCAATCCAGACAAGCAGTTCCTGATCTCGCCTCCTGCCTCTCCGCCGGTTGGTTGGAAACAAGTGGAAGATGCTACTCCAGTCATAAATTATGATCTTTTATATGCTATCTCCAAGCTTGGGCCAGGTAAGCAGTGCCCTGCAGGCAGGAGCAGGGGTGGAGAGGGAGAGTCTGCTAAAGACCTGCTGCTCACAGGTCAGGGAGGATCCCCATGGGCCCTTTAGCTCCCTCATGAGCCAGTGCAAGTGTGCCCTCCCTTTGTGTTCTTCCACATCAGTGCCACTTGTGCTATGAGTGTGCATTCCTTGGGAAGGTGTGCAAGAGCCACCATAACTGCTCATTAGTCCTGCCCTCGATGGGCACCCTCACCCGTGAATCCATCTCCTCGCCCAGGGGCACAGCCTGCATGGCTCATGACCAGGTCTCTCTAGGTGCCATTGAGCAGTGGAGTCTCGAAAAGGGAAAACCGATTATCCTTGTAGAAATTTCAGTTTTAGTCAAGGTAATTTCTCCCTTGATTTCGTTGATCTGATTCTCACCTGGCCTTTTTAATGGGTAGGAAGAAGAGAACCAGGGATCATAGAGAAGAAAGAACCTCAGGCTCTTTGTCCATAAAATGGGTCTTACCCAGTGGAGTTGAGGTCATCATCCAACAAAAGACACTTCACAGTACCTGACCTCAAGTCGGTACTCAATCCTTGGTCTTTGGAAACAGTCAAGTGTGGTGGGTTCCTGTCCTATGTGCTAGGATTTGGCTGAGTATGCAGAGAGGAGAGGGGGTCTTGGAGTAAAGAGGTGTGAGCCCCTTCTGCCCCACCCTTGGAGCAAACTGGATACATGCTGAGACTGTCAGCTCCTCATTTCTCCTTGACCAGCAATCTGATGTTCCTTTGGGTTTTATTTTCGTGGACCATCAGCAATTTCATATTGAAAAGATTACATTTCTGAAAACATTGCCCAAATGGAAATTTCCCCTGTGGTATAAAGCAAGAATCACATTACCCACTGCTAATCGTGGCTTGAAGGTCAAGGTCAAAAATGGTCAGTTGGAGGAAGTGTGTGGCCCTCCACAGCAGCTCTTGGTGAGAGGCATTAACAAAGCTGAGAGCTGCATCTACTGGTGTCCTAGAGACGGGAGCAAATGGGATCCCCCACCTGGGGAGAGGTGCCCTCCTGCTCTGGAGGTCAGAAGTGCCATGAAGGAAAATTCCTCAGCCTCCAGAATCTACCATGTCTTTACAGAAGACCATGGAGAAGGCTTTTGAAAACAGACATCATGAAACCAGTTTGCCCTTGGTTTACTTAGCGATGGGCTGAATAGTATTTCATATTTTGGCTGTACTTTTCAGGATTGCAGATTTTGCAATGATAGCCCTAAGTCCCAAGCATTCTGGATTTTGTGGTAGATAGTAAGGATTTGTAAAGAGGCCAGCACCTCCAGTGACCCGTCTGACATCCCAGACTGAATGCTCTGAGGGAGCTGAGGCTTCTTCAGATGTAATTACACTGGCATCCAGTCTCCAAGAGACAAGGCAGCCCCCTCCTGTGTGAGGGACAGTGCCTTCCTTGAGGAGAGGAGCATGCAGGGAGGCAGGAGGCTGGGAGCCTGCCGCTGCTCCTTCAGCTGGAAATGAGCCTCTGAGGAGCACACAGTGGTGGGTGAGGAGCCTCCTCACTTGCATGGAGCTTCAGAGAAAGTCTGCACGAAGCCTTAGAAGAAAGCTCACCCGAGCCACCCCAAGGTGGGCGAGCTGAATCCTTAGCATTTCCACACCTCCTAGCTAGGGGTTGACCACAGGGTCTGTGTGTGCTGGCAAAAGCTTTACCACAGAGCTACATCCCCAGCCACCTCCATTTTTAAACATAATTCTAGGTAAAATTGCCAGGCATGCACATCGTGAACCAGGTACTACGGGCTCTGTGGACATTCACTCATGCCACTAGCTCTGTGAGGTTGATGCCTTTGTTGTACCATTTTATAGAGGAAGAGAGAGGTACACAGCAGAGTGAGACAACATACCCTGGAGCCCTGGTACTACAGGCTCGCAGCCCACGTGGTGGCCACACGGTCACACTGCCTCCCATCAGCACCCAGTGGTCAGACTCTCCATAGCCAGGAGCCCTGAAGGGATGCCCAGCTCCTCCATTCGTGGCCAGGTTCCTCAGTTACAGAAGGCTCTTCCCATCCGTGCTGGACCTGAGTGGTCTGACCTTGAGCCTGGTCAAAGTCAGGCTGGCACAGAACAGCAGAGCATGCTTGGCTCCAGGAGGCCAGCAGTTTTGTAAGAAAGGGATGCCGTGGTCATGAAGGCGAAAGGAGCACCTACCTGCGTCTGCACACTCGGCCTCCACAGGTGTCCCTGTCCTGGGTCTGCTCTGCCCTCGGAGGAGGCTCAGGATATCAGTTACCAAATGTGTTTATCCTTCAGCATCTTGTTCCTGAACTGATGTTCCTCACACCACACTTGGGGACTCGCTGGCAGACAGGGAGCCTCTGGGTAGTTAGTGTAGGGTGCCTGGTGACATGAGAAGCGTCAACTAAAAATACACATTCCATTTATTCCTGTCACATGCCGGACTCGGAGTCAGACACACTGGAAATGAGTCCTTTTTTTAACGTAGCATCAAAGAAACGTAAATGTAAAATGTGTCTTGTCTGTCTCAGCCCGTTGAGCGTAGGCAGGAGGCGGCTGGGCAGACCTAAGTGTGACTCCATTTGTTCCTGTCGTGGCACCCTCCAGGTCTCATCTGAGTTATCTGCCATTATTTCTTCCCCAGGAGAGAAGTACGAGCTGCACGCAGCGACCGACACCACCCCCAGTGTGGTGGTCCACGTCTGTGAGAGCGATCAAGAGAACGAGGAAGAGGAGGAGATGGAGAGGATGAAGAGACCCAAACCAAAAATCATCCAGACAAGAAGGCCAGAGTACACACCTATCCACCTGAGCTGAACTGGCGCCGGGCGAAGAAGCATTCTCAGTCATACTCACGGGAGGAATCTTTTACTGTGGAAGTGGCCGGTCACAACTTGGGAGGTGGCAGCCGTGACCGCTATGGCAGAAATCCAGTTCATGTTGCTCAGAAGAGAATCAAGGCTTCGTCTCCTTGTTCTGATGCTGCACCTCAGTCCACGTCCATGGCACCCAGGAATGTCTTGGGCCAATCACTGAGTTTGTTGTGATCGCACAAGGACATTTGGGGACATCTTGAGAAAACCAATAATGATAGTGTCTTGTACTTGTTCTTTTCTGGTAGGTTCTGTTTTCGCCTAGGGCAGGTTGATCAGTGGGTCCAGGGAGCGCTTTCCGCTTCTAGCCAGTGTACAGGGTACAATCCCAACTGGTAGGAGGAGGCCTCACGCAAAGCCACCAAGCGTCTAGTGCAGAAAGGTTGTGAAAACAACCGCAACGCCATGTGGAATTGTAGCGTCTCATTTCTTCCCTCATGTTCGAATGTCTGTGCATGTTTATTACTGATTTTCAAGACTAACCTTTGTTTGTGTATGAAGTTACGCATTGTTGTTTCACATCCTTTGGGAAGTAGGAAAGCATTGGGAAACTGTCACCTTCCAGATCTTCAGCTCTTTGCATCCACATGTGGAAGTGCACCTGGAAGACCGTCTCTCGGCATCCTGTCCAGTGTAGCACGTGACTTGTGCTCCTGCAAAAGACGCTGATCTGAATTCCTACGTAGAGTAGCTTATACAATTCAGAGAATAGCAGTTTCACTGCCAATTTTTAGCAGGTGAGAAATTTTAGTTTAGGTGTTTGGGTTGGATATCAGTCTCCATTGTTTCTTTATGTAATGGTTTCTAGACAAGAATCATAACCAAAGGTCGCTTTGGGAACTATTGGTTGAGATAGTTGGTTTTTCACCCCACTGAAACATCCAGATAAACGTGTAAATAGAGCTGACAGCATATATCCATACCTGTTGTACTCTTGGGTGAAGAAACGTGACAGTGGAAGGATAGTGTAAGCTGTATTAACCTACCTGTGAATCGTATGTTGTAGAAAAGCCGTCCACGTGTTTAATGGGATGAACTCAAAGCATGTAAAGTGAGTAGTAGATGTGTGTTGATATGAGAGGGATGCAGTGCCTTTCCCCATAATTCCTGATGGAATTGTTACACTAGGTGAACATTTGTAATTTTTTTCTAGTTGTAATGTGTATGTCTGGTAAATAGGTATTATATTTTGGCCTTACAATACCATAACAGTCTGTCATTCTGAAATACCTAATGCCAAGTAACAGTGCATGCTTTGGAAATTTGGAAGATGGTTTTCTTTGGGAAGCAAATAGGTTTGCATTAACTTCTTGGATTGTTCATAACAAGAAATCGATTGAATGTTCTCAAAACCCTGTTTACAGTGCTTGGTAGGAGGGCACCGGTTAGGGAGAGACCATTGCATAGCTGTTCAAGTGTTTCTAGTTAAGTGCTTTTAAACTGGAGAGGCTAACCTCAAAATATTTTTTTTAACTGCATTCTATAATAAATCGGCACAATATGCTCTTTCCGGAAAGTTACTTGTTTGTCGTTTGATTTCTAGGATTAATCTGTGAACCCTTTCAGTTCTGCAGCCTCAGAGGACACATTCCTTTGTCACTTTGAACTGAAAAGCTTCTAATTCTGTGCTGTGGTTCAGAGTATCCACTGTACTGCAGTCCATCACTTAGAAAAGGGCAAATTGGATTAAATAAAAAGCAAAATTCTGAGCATTTTCTTGATACAGAAAATATTGTTTATTAGCCCCGCTTCAAGCAGTAACTTGTTTTTTTTCTTTTGCGATGTTGGGGATAGAAACCTAGGGCCTCAGGCATGCTAGGCAAGTACTCCTCCTGAGCTACGTTCCAGCCACCAGTAATGTTTTTAAGCATTAGTTTGATGAGTTTTCTGTTCAGAAGAATGTCCACAGAAGAGCTAACTTATGAAGGCCAATTATGTCCAGAAGATTCGTCTGCAAGTCTCTGTTTGAAAGAGTTGTGGCCACCTCTTCCCAGAGCTCTTTCCAGAGGGTGGCGAGCTTCCTGGCCAGTCCTCAGAGCCCTCAATAACCCCGTGTGTGATGGAATCTTTAAAAATGACATTGATCTTGATCCAGATTAACATTAGGTAATTGCACTATGAAAATTCACATGCCACTTTGGTTTTCTTTTATAAAATACACCATCCTGTCCTTTTCCAAGAGCATTTGCATATTTGAAAGCCATTATGTTCAAAGCTGCTTTCAATGTGCTGAGAGACCCACGTTATCAATTCAGTCAGTCTGATCTGATTATTGGACAGATTCACTTACTAATCACCTAGGGACAGGAGGGGAGTATTTCCAAATAGAAATACTAGAAATATGGGGTGAGGCTATTATTTATCATCATTTTGAACAACTAGGAGCCTGTTACAAGAAGCGAAAGGTGATCTGTTTGCTGGCCCAGGACCTGAGTTCTTGAACAGCCCTGGAAGGAAGTTGGAATGTGTCATTAGTTCCCTCGGATTCCAAGTGGGTCCCCTTACATAAATGGGGCAAACACTGGTGACCCCACTGCTGGTGAAACTGACAGACCCTGTGAACATCCTTGGCGTGGACACAATCTCCTGAGAGGATAGGGCATGTGAGTGTGGCAACCCCAGCTGGGGTTTTGTACTCAAGAGTACACTAGGTCATTGGCTCCCAGGCTGCTGGCTCTCAAAGGCCCCCACATTAGAGCACACCCAAGGCCCACCAATTTCCTTTTCTGAGAAGGGCTTCGTAAAATGCAGAATGACGCACATAAAACAGGCAGAACCATGCACAACACACTCTGCCATTGATTGAACACATTTCTTAAAGAGGTTTTGATAGATCATACTACGGAGCTGGTGGGAAGTAACTTAGGTCCATATGAAGAAAGCCCCTGAAAATATGTGCAAGAGTGGATCATGGCCATTCATGTAGCTATTGATACTGGGGCCTAAACATTGATTTTCAGTCAGCAAGCATTTAGTATCTTACATTTCCAGAATGTCATGTGAGCTCATGCCCACAGGAGATTTGGGCCACCAGAGAGCTTTAATTTTAGGTAAAATGTGCAGAACTCACCAAGAAGTAAATCGATTGTATAGCATATTAAGTTGCGGAGGATTAAACACACCACGTGGGCACGTCACGGGAACACTGAAGGCACAGCTGGAGTTTTTCCTGCTTCCCAGTGTCTGCAGAACTCCGTGGAGTGCATCCCAGGAACATTCACCTAAAGGTCAGCAATTCAGAGGGAAGCCCACCAGAAATTGACATGAACATTACTCAGGACGAAGGCTGGCCATGGGTGACATTCGTTGCGGTTCCCTGGACTTGTGCCTCTACAGTAGGACATGGAGGGATTTTTTCCCCAAGTACACTGCTGCACTTGGCAGTCTGTCCTTCGCCCTCATGGTCTCGCCTGCCCCATTTGCTTCAGCTGGCCCTCCCTGCTGTTCGTGAAAGGTCATTTAATCATGGCCATGTGTAGGAAAGACAGGGACATTATTTGCAGGTGTTTGAGATATGAGGCCTACAGCCAGCGTTTCTTTTCCTTTCAAGATTCTGATTAGGACTTTGATGACTGTTCTACACAGCGCGTAAGTGCCTAGCAGGGGATGGAGCCGCGGCTCACAGCTCCCCCTTCCCTGGCCACCAGGACCCCCTCCTGCCAACATTCATGCTCCAGACACCCCAAAAATTCAGTGTCTCTGACTCAGCAGAATTTCTCTTCCCTGTGCCTAGAAATGACCCCACTGCCCAGCCTCCCCACTGCCTCTGCCCTGAGTGCAGGCTCCTGTGTGCCCTGCCCACCTCTGCCGGAATCAGGAGCAGTTTTCCCTGTGCCTGGTGCATGGCCCTCAGTAAATATGACCAAAATAATGAACCAACCCCATATTTGTCCTGCAAATCTCTACGTGAATGTCTCTTCCCCCGAGACTCACTGCCAGCCACTCCTGCAGGCTGTCCCCTCATGCCCATCCTTCTCTACCGTGATGTGTACATCCTTTTCAGGACCACCTGTGAAGAAGAACGTACCCACCACGCTGTGAACACCACGGTAAGCTTGGGATGGCGGGGGGCTTATGAAACAAGAAAGGGACAAGAGAAGGGCAGCACAGGCCCTTCTCCAAGGGGCACCCTTCATCCTCAGCCAGCCCCATGGGCAGGGCCTCACGGGCAGGTGCCAGGCTGACCTTGTTCCCACCCTGGCCAGGTAAGACCTCATCCACGCCTCTGTCACCTACCTGGAGCAGATCCCAAAGCCCTGCAGACAAGCAGGGCTGGGAGAGAGAGAAAGGAGACTTCAGGCAGAGCGGGGCCGCTCCACCCAGTGCCAGGCTCCTCCAGTCTGGACAGAACTGGTCATCAAGGAAGGTGCTACAGGCCTGAGAACTAGTGTCCACTCCCTGGCTGCCCCCAGCCCAGGGCAGCAGCGCCCCCTCCTGCCTGTGCTAAGGCCATCTCCTGGACCTGAGGAGGGAAACGCAGTGGGGGAAGGAGAGGGGAAGTAGGTGTTGCAGAAGCTTGCGGTTCTGTGGAGAGCTGCAGAGGACACTGCACCAGAGAAGGAGATTTTTGAGTGAGGCCTGAAAGAGAGGAGGGAGAAACCCTGGAGGACTGTGGGCGTCTAGGAGAGGGCATCCCAGGCAGAGGGGAACCCAGGAAGCCATCAGGCAGGGAGGGCGGTGCCTGGCACGGTCCCACTAGGAGCTCAGGCTGGCAGGTGCAGGAGGGCAGGGAAGTGAAGCCTGGAGGTGACCAGCTGGCATGTGGGTGTATGGGAGAAGGCAAGGGGCCCACTGGTGACCTGAAGAGCGTTCAGGCCTTCCCGGGCTCTGCAGGACTGCTGCTGGATCACCTGAGTCGGAGGGGACAAGATTGGTGGGAAAGATGTGAGTTTAGGTTCTGGGGTTGTGATGGACACAATGCTAAGTGGCCCCTAAGATTCCCACCCTCCATCCCTGGGGTGGACAGCCCCTGTGTAACCTGCCTCTGAGTGTGTACAGAACCTCTAACTGCAGTGCAGGTGACAGCACTCAGCATTGTGTCCTTTCTATGGCAAAAGGGACTTTGGAGATGTGATTAAGATCTGGAACCAGTAGACTTTGAGTTCATCAGAGGGAAGTTTGCATCGGGTGGGCCTGGCCTAATCAGGCACACTGTGAAAGAGGACCACAGCAGCAGCAGGCATCCTCTGCTCACTGAAAAGAAGCAGTCACAGGGATAATGGAGGGGCCCTGTGGCAAGCAAGAAAGGGCCTGAGGATGACCTCTAGGAACTAAGAACAGTCCAGCCAGCAGGCACCGAGCACCTCAGTCCTACAACCACAAGAAATGAATTCCAACAACTATGTGAGTTTGAAAAAGGAACTTAAACCTCGGTCTAGACTGCAGGTCTGGCTGCTCCCTTGATTTCAGTCTGATGAGACCCTGAACAGAGGAACCATCCAACCCACAGGAACTGAAATGGTAAATCTGAAAACTAATAGAAAGTCTGCTGTAACAATAGAAAACTAATATAGAACATCATCTCAAAAGGGCAGTGTGGCCTCTCATCCAGGCCAGGCTCACAGGGACACAAGGCCAGCCCAAGACCTACACCCCTGAAGCAGACTGTGTGTCCTGGTGAGCCCTGAGCCCTCAGCTCTAATGGACCTGAGCTCTCAAGTGATTCCCGTGCGTTCTGCTCCAGGTCATATTGATCAGACACTGATTTCTTGTCTCCTTTTTAATGAATGACTTATGAATATATTTTAGAATTTATAACAGTTTCTTTTCTAAGTAACTTTGCAAAAAGACACAGCTGTGAATTTATTTTTTGAAAATGGCAGGACACGCCTGGTAAAGCATGCAACAGGAGTCGTTATGATTTTAAACATCAAGCTTCCCATAGTTACTTGACCTAGAAAAGAGGGGGAGCACAGATAATATCACACAGACTATTGCAATATTTCAGTATTTCACTCAATACTCATTCAGCAAGTATCCCTTGAGCACCCAGATGTGCCAGGCACCAACCCCAGAGTTGGAAATAGGGCTCTATAGAGAGTCAACTCAGGAGGTCCCAAGTCTAAAACCAAGGGGTCGGCAGGGCTGCGTTCCTTCTGTAAGCTCAAGGGCAGAATCGGCTCCCCTGCCCTTTTCAGCATCTAGAGGACACCACCGTCTTGGGCTCTGGCCTTGCATTAGCCCAACCCTCACTTCAGGTGTCTATTTTATAATCACCCTCTAGTCACCCTGTTGGGAATGGAGGAACCCCTGCCCTGTGATTCTGGGAAGCTGAACAGATAACAAGCAACTCTGGTGAGATCAGCAGCAGTTGATTAGCCACATAGACTCCCGGCCTGAGGGATGACCCAGAGGAAGAACACCACACACCACGTAGGGCCACATGGGTGTGGTCCCCCAGGCAGACTGGACCAGCAGAGACTTTGAGAATCAGGCTATCCTAGTCCATTCCTGCTGCTATAACAAAATAGCCGAGACTGAGTAGTTTATTAAGAAGTGGAATTTATTTTCTCAGAG